TGGACTATATGTCCTGAGATGAGTGTATGAAGCCAACTAAATTAAGGCTTACATATGCAGTTTTTGCAGTTACTAAAGAGACTTTTCTTTTACATATATATTCTGAGTCAGCCTCTATAACAGTTGCATTTTTTACTAGCTAGTGTAAGGTTCAAGAAAGCTGTATGTAGTATAGGTTTTGGCAAAAGGGGCAGGTGATGGCTCCAGTTCCCACCACAGGGATATAATGGTGAGCTAAATGTCCATGTTAAGATACAGACAGGGTCATGCTAGGAATAGGAAAGACGAAGCTCGAGTCTATGTGCATTACTATTTAATGTCAGTTTTGGTACATATTTAAGCTCTTCAGGCCACTGGGTACTTTTAAATACCACTGATGTTGAGGAAATATTATGAAAATATAAATAAAAAATACTTTTTTTCCTGTAGTTACAGGAGCTCTGAATATATGACCTCTGTACTCTCTGACACCTTATCAGCTACATGAATACATACAGACATAGGGCACACTTCAATTTGAACACAAATGGACCCTTAACCCATCTGTTTTATCCGCAGTGCTCACTACTAATTTTTTTCTAACTTTAAGTAATCGTAGTCTGGTAATGTTAATGACAGCTAAGGCAGGGAAACCTTTGCATTAACTTCTGCAGACCAAGAACTGAGCCACATATTTTGTGAGAAGAACACGATGCTCAGTTCTGTAGCAGATAATGTTATGCACATATATTGAAACAAGACGGTCTTTAATTTGACCAACTCTAAAAATAAGCCTTTAATACCTGCTAATTTAAATTCACACTTGGGAGCAAATATTACCATTCCTCTGTGGGACTACCAGGGTCAGGAAACAGAGATCCATTTTCTCTTAAAGAGCTCCTGAGCAGAATCTGACCTATGCTGCTCTCTCTGTGAGGAGAAAGCTGTTCCATGTACAACAAAAATCCTTGCTTTTAACACACGAGCAGATTTGATGCTAGAGTTTGAGCTCCTCCCACAACAGGAGAAATTTCTGCCTTCTTCCAGACCAGCAGTTGGCCAGGGAGAAAAAGGACCATTCACTGTATGTTTATTAGGCCTGTATGGATATTTACCAGCATCAGAGTGATTTCTTAGTGTTTTGAGTTTCTGTTTTTATCAGGAAATGGAATACTGACTGGGACTGAGCATAATTCTACCTAATGGGAAACATCTTAGTTTTAGCAATTTTTTCTCCATCAAGGCTCTGGCAGTTACACGAAAAATTTGTTTTTGTATATGAAAGACTGCTTTTTCTTAGATTTAGCCTTCTCTTCTACACAAGACATTATCTTCTCCTGTGAACAAATAATGTACATTTATATCCTGGAATATTCAGGATTGAAGGAATATAATAGATCTACATACCTCTGATGGAACCCTATATAACTTTAACTAGTCAGCACCTCACTCTCTAACACCCATTTATTGGTACTGTATTTAGTAAGTAAGCATTCAAAGGAGGATGAGCTCTATTTTGCTTGCCATGCCATTCTGATTATGTGTTGAAATATCTCTTGAAAGTTTTGAACCTCAAAGTTGTTAAGAGCAATTTCCATTTATACTACTAAGTCTACTGAAAATCAAGGATCTTTTACATTTAAATGAATGCATATAATAGTTAAAAATCAAACTATGTCTGATAATTTTGATTATTTCGGGGAGAATTCTAAAATTAAAATGAAAAAAAAAAGAAAGTGTTATGTAAATCATATGGTAGAGTACCTGTTGTGGTTTAAGTCAGAAGGTGGCTGAGCACCACAGAGTTGTTCACTCACTCCCCTCTTCCCAGTGTGATGGGGGAGAGAATTGAAAAATGCCAAGGGGAAATAGTGGGTTGAGAAGAAATTATTCAGTAACACAGAGGAATGGAAAAGGATAATAATTACGACAAATATATATATATATATATATATATAAATACGGGAGAAGTGGTGCAGAAGTAATTGAACAACACCCTCTGCATGATGCCTAGCTAAGTTCTGAGCAGCAGAAGAGAGCCAGATGCACTCCCACCTCTTTCAGAACTCCTTCTACTTGATGTCATGTGGTATGGGATATCCCTTGACCAGTTTGAGTCGGCTGTCCTAATTCTGTTCCCTCCCTGCTGCTTGGGCCCTTTGCTAAGAATGGCCTTGGCTGTGTGCAACACTGCTTAGCAGTATCTATAAACTTCAGTGTGTTATCAGTGTTGTTTTTCTCCTCGAACTAAAACATAGCTTCATACCAGCCTCTATGAAGAAAACAATTCTATCCCCTCTGAAACTAAGTATCATAGAAAATATTATTTCTATAACAAAGTCAATTTGACAGAGAAATGAAGAATTGATATTTGATTTTTGAGAGAATCTTACTGCTGTACAGTGAGCAAAAAGCACATGCTGAGGTAATTTACACAGTTGCAGCAAGTTGTTTAGTCAGGTGCAGCAGGGACCCCTGCTAGAGCTTGTATTACAGGCATTTAACATTTTCATTAATAATCTGGAAGAGAGGGCTTACAGCATGTTAATTACATGAGTAGATAGTTCTAAATTGAGAGAAGTCACAAAACATTAATGGGGACTGAGATCTAATATAACAGGATTTAAAATGACAGAAAAATAAGAAAGAGAAAAAGCAATTCTGGCTTAGTCAGAGATTCAAGTGCAATCAGAGATGTCTTGATATCTGACCCATACATTAAGAATGTAAGTGAGAAACAAAGCAGTAACACTAATGGAGTAAAACATGAACTGAATATTGGTTAACATATGATGTAGAAGCTGCAAGGACTGTTTTGATTCTGGGCTGCCTGTGAAAAAGTGCAACTTGGAAAGCTTACAAAAACTTAAAGGAGCTCAAGGATGGAAAGATTTTTTTTGTAGAAAGTCTTTAGTAAGGAAAACAACTAATATGACCTAGATATTTAAAACAACTGATCTGTCCATCGCCAGGCAGGGTAGTATAAGAAATTTCTATCAGGTACCAGGACAATGCAGTACAGCTTTTACAGCTTTTCCAACTCCTACATTCTCCATGATGTCACCTACCAGTTAAGACCATAACTTCTACTTGACATGATTTGAGATTATTCCTAAGTCTCATTAGAGTGAGTAAGATACAATGTTACAGTGAAATTTAATCTCATTTTAATATGAAATCAATGCACCATTCTGCTCAGAGTTTTCCTGCTGTGACTGAAAGACTGGAATTATACAGGTGCTTCCACAACCCACTCTAGCGTCAAGAGATGTTTTCTGTTTGTTTTTAAACCTGGAAAAAATAATTCACCTCCATTAATCCTAGTACTTTATGGTACATTTCCTTCACTTTTTTTGGTTGTGTCAGTTCTCTGTTATACTACATTATCTCTCACTAATATCCTTACCTCTGTGTTGCAGGTACCTTAAGTGACATAAAAGCAGAACTTGGTAAAATCCTAGCTATAGAGGAGCCCAGTTTTCCCTTTTAAATGATTGAGAGGTAAATCCCAGCACCTCACTTCTGCTGTTGGCTCAGAGACAGACCCTTTGTCCTGTTTTACTCTTTATGCTCAGGGCTTTTCCCCCTTTCTGTGCTTAAGAAGTGGAACACTTTTGCTGATTTGGAAGATGAAAGGCTGGTAAATGTGGTCTGAGGTACAGAGTAGTCAGTTTTAGACCTAGGAAAGCAAAAATCTGTGTGCAAGTTTAAGAGCGAAGCATCGTTTCTATGTGATCCAGAAAGAAGCAAATGTTAAATGCTTCTCTGAACCTTCATAAGTCAGAAGATACCATTGACTTCAGTGGAATCCTTTGGTAACTACAGATGCAGTCCAAAGGCCATATTTTCTTTGTTGAGCTTACTTCTATAAACAAGTGTAAACACTAAATCATAGATTATCAGAATGGTTGTATTTCTGATATCATCTTGGGTATCTCTGGGAACACTGCCCTTAAGTGTTGAAATTGTTCCTCAGTTGGTTCCTTGTTCCGTTAACCACTGTTCCAGAACTGAGACTAGTACAAGTCCCTTTTGAGTACTATTCATATAACCAGAAGAGATAAAAAGGAAGGTGAAGAAAATGTTCCGCTAATCCTCTGTACTACTACTCTGTGGGTATAGGTCTTTATTGGACAGCCTAAACCAAACGTGACCTAGAACATGCCACAGGGATACAACATGGGCACAGTGATGTGTCAGATCTCCAGGGCTAACTGTAAGTCTGACTACATGTATACCTTTAAACATCTTAGCATACATTCATGAGGCAGTAAGGCCAGGTCAGAGCTCTATGGTGTGACATTAATTCTTCTGCTATGAGTGCTCTTGAACACCTTTTCATCTTTTTTCCTTCTTACAGAAGAATCACATGTAGTCTTTCAAACTGTATTATCTAACAGAAAGGTCTCTTTGCATCTTTTCAAAGAAGAAATGAAGGGACAGATGCTTCTCCAAAGCATTCAAGCAGAGAAGTGGAGACAGGCTCACAACTACCTTCACCCTGGCTGAGTTTGTGCACCTCATGAGATTAGACAGCTTGTTCATGTACATCCACACAGCAGAAGTAGGGAAATGGTTCTTTTTGATAATAAATTAGCTGATATGGGGATTCTGAGTATTGACTAGAATATGGCTGGCTATCTGAGGACATCATTTAAGCTTCCTAGTAATGATCTCATTTGAAGCAAGTGCCATACTACTAATTATCACTTGGTTCTGATTGATTCATCATCCACTTTGGTGCTCCCATTTCATAAATGGGAACATAAACTGCTTAGTTTAAGAAATGGAATAATATGCAGAGCTTATTTAAAACAGAACTGACTCTATACTGTGTCAATTACTGTCAGACTGATTTTCTTTCCTTTGGTCCCTGTATGTGTGCACACATGTATATGACTGTGAACAGTTAATTACTGTATGACTACATATAGAATGCTTATATAATATTTTAATAAAGACAATATTATAATCTAGTTTACATTTACACATCACAATTGAGAAATAATAATTTTCCTTACCTATTTCAGTCATGGATATCCCCGGAGCTAACTGCCCATTGTTGAAAGAGCTATAGGTAAACAAGTTTGGTACAGAGGTGAGGTCATAGATAGGTTCCTGCTTTATCTGTTTGATTCCAGTCATGTCTAAGCCAGACTGATCTGGAGAAGGCTGGGCAGAATCCACGTTGTAATAACCCTCAGACTTTGGCAGGTCGATGACGTGCCCATTTGAATAGGTGCTGCCCGTTTCGTTGTTCAGATTGCCCAAGCCGTTGCTGATGCTGTTGCTGTAAACCCTGGCGAGGGCTTCTGCCTCACCGCTCTGCTGCTGCCGCTGTTCCTGCAGTCGCTGCTGGTGCTTCTGCACTTCAGCATACAAGCTATCCCTCTGCTTTTTGGACATTCTTCCAAATTTCACAGCTGAAAAGCAAAGCACAGTGCAAGCCATTGTCATTTTTCTTTTGTCTCAATTCCCCTCAACACCACTGCTCCCCTGATATCTGCATCACTTTTGCTGTGGAAACTTATCTTTTTCTTTTGAAAGAGAGAGGATGCAGAACTTTATGTCATATTCATCTCACAAAGGAAAACTATCACCTGCTTGGATTTACAAGCTGACAGTGACTCTTACTTGACAGGAGGGCCGCAGTCAGGCAACTCGCTTTCTACTGTGAATGTTAAAAAGTCGATGCATCCTTTTTTTGTCTCTCTGTTCACTGAAAAACAACCCAGAGCTGTATGAAAAACACAGTCTATAGATTCATAGTCCTTGCATTTTACAAACTTTCCACAAACCTTTAAACTGTGTGTTAACAGGATTAGTACTCTGGATGAAAACAAGCCCTACAGCCCTATTATCACATTCTTTCAATGGGGTGTTATCTTCACACTTTTAAAAAAATCTTGCAGGTTAGATTTAGAACCTAGAGGAAAATAGCAGACTGGAAGGTAAACAGCACAAATGAATGTCATCTTTTTCACAGAGAAAAGTCTCAGGGATTTACACAATCAATTTACATAATCTCCATGCACAAAATCCATGCATTCCTTCTAATGAGAAGGGCAAGAAAACAAGAGAGCAAACCACTGTCCCCAGGAATATGGCTCACTACACTGAGATTGAAATTTTCAGAAATGACAGTCTGATTGCTGTGGAACTACAAGGAGTAAATCCATAGCCTACATATACAGTGGTCACAGATGATTATCTGTTCTTTTTTTTTTTTCTCTCTCTCTTTAAATTCTGGGTTTCTACTGGCCTAGATCTTGAGATCTCAGAGAAGAGGTAGCTATTAAGCTATTAATCATGCTTTAAGACAAATGAGATCTGTCAATTAGGATACATTCAGCAGAACTTATCAGAGAACAGATAGGAGGACATTTCTCTGGAAATACTTATTTTATGTATTATGAGGACTATTTTCCAATGCTATTTCCCATCCACTTGTAATGGAGATCCGTTCAGAATCATCACACTTATTAGTGGCTTGGTTCCCATTTTAGTTGCATTTCAGTTATAGTTCTCCAGAAGATTCTGGGCTTACAAATTCTCATTAAAAAAAAAAAAAAAAAATTTATTTATTTACGTAAGAGCCAAAAATACCCAAACAATAACAACAAAACAGAGAAAACAGGAAAAAAACTCTATTAGAAGGAAATGGCATAAAGTTGAGAAGATGGTAGCCTTTCAATTTATTTGTGTTTCTTTACTTCGAGATTTGTTTTTCTTGTTACCAGCTTCAGCTCACTTACAGCCCTCCATACAGTTTGTGAGTACATACACTGGCTGCTCTGCAACCAGTCCACAGTGCATTGCAAGCTGTTATGGACAATATGTAATGACTGGATTTTGAGAAATACAACTGCGTGTTTCCTTCAAACGTAGGGTCTCAGTAATAAAAACAAACACCCACAGTTTACTCTCATTATATATTCATTAATTGGATTCTCCAGCTGCTGTCAATTAGCATCCTGCCTCTGCATGATAAAAATGAATCTGTTACATGGCTGAGAGGTAAAATTCACATTCAATTTTTCTGTTAAAAAAAATCCATGCAAGCTATTTTAAACTTGCAAGAGCTCTCCATATCATTAAGTATAAACACTCTCACATCAACAATCAAAGAAGAAAGTGATGTTGACAGAAGAACCTCTCTTTGTATGCAGCAGACCCTGCATTATAGGTTGGGAAGACAATGCTGTGAGTTAAATACCTCTGTGATATCTCAAATACTTGCAAGGTATTACTTTTATTGGGAAAGTACATGCTGTTAAATTACCAAAATTTTACTACAGTGCTTTCTGGGAAGAAGCAACAGCTAAGGTGTCAAAGCATACTTTGTAGGAGGCCCGAAAGAACTCCATGAATTAAAGGTGAGACAGCAGGGCCCCTCTCCGTCTGCTGAGACAGGTAAGCAAATTGTTTCAGTGATACATGAAACACAGTGAGGTAGGAAAAGAACTACTACAGACGTAAAGCAAGCTTATACACTCTGAACTATCTTATGTAATAAGTCTTTAAGTAACTTCATTAATGCCTGTTAATTCCAAAGAACAAGTTTTATGAACAAATGCTGCCAGGTGATCAAAACTAATATAGCTTTGCTGAAGCAAATGTAACCTGCCTTCAAAGACAGAATATTCTCTTATACTCCCTGACCATTTCAAATATGACTGTGAGCTGGACAGCCATTGCATTGGCAATGAAATGTTTCTCCTGTGATCCAGACATGGACAGGAGGCAATGCACCAGTGAAAAGCTTTTTTTCACAAGGCAAAATGCTTAGTCAAGCACTCTGAATAGAATCACAGAATCATAGAATCATAGAATCACCAAGGTTGGAAAAGACCTAAAAGATCATCCAGTCCAACCGTTCACGTATTCCCAATAGCTCCCACTAAACCATGTCCCTCAACACAACATCCAGCCTTTCCTTGAACACCCCCAGGGTCGGTGACTCCACCACCTCCCTGGGCAGTCCATTCCAGTGCCTGACCACCCTTTCTGAAAAGTAATACTTCCTAATGTCCAGCCTGAATCTCCCCTGCCGTAGCTTGAAACCATTCCCTCTGGTCCTATCACTAATGACACGAGAGAAGAGGCCGACCCCCAGCTCACCACAACCTCCCTTCAGGAAGTTGTAGAGAGCAATGAGGTCTCCCCTAAGCCTCCTCTTCTCCAGGCTGAACATTCCCAGCTCCTTCAGCCTCTCCTCATATGGCCTGTGTTCCAGACCCCTCACCAGCTTTGTTGCCCTCCTCTGAACACGTTCCAGGGCCTCAATATCTTTCTTGCAGTGAGGGGCCCAAAACTGGACACAGTACTCGAGGTGCGGCCTCACCAGTGCTGAATACAGGGGAACAATCACCTCTCTGCTCCTGCTTGCAACACTGTTTCTGATGCAAGCCAGGATGCCATTGGCCTTCTTGGCCACCTGGGCACACTGTCGGCTCATGTTCAGCCGAGCATCAATCAATGAAATATCAATAAAATAAACAGGTGAAAAACCTTAACATTATCAAGGTGTACCTTTCTTTTTAAACCGCCTATTCACTCTCACAGACCTTTAGAGATTTCAAGGAGAGGGATGCTTCCTCACGTCAGTATTTAATGCTGCTATATAAAAAGTTATATAAACTGGAATATTAATCCTCCTCTCCAGAGATAACTTTCGTGATTTTGATCAGAACAATGCACTTCTTTTCCAACTCTTTCACTTTGAATCTAATATTGCTTTCCATTTTGCTATCTTCCCACCCTCTTCATGAAAATAGTCTCCATTGTTAACTGAAGATCTGTGTCTCACAGTGTGTACATTACAAAGCAAGGAGCTTCTCCTCTCTTTTTCTAGAAATCTACAGGGAGTTTAAGTAAGGCAGCAGAGAAGAAGAGTTTCAAAGGATTTAGGCATGAAGTAGGAATCTGACTCTTACCATCTCTAGACATTCCCAGGGCAAGACATTTCTGCAGTCGGCAGTGTTGGCAACGATTTCTGTTGGTTCTGTCAATTAAACAGTTTCTCTGCCTTGGGCAGGAGTAGGAGGCATTGTTCTGCTGACTCCTCCGAAAGAATCCCTAGGGGCAACGAGGAAGAGAGACAGAGTATTACCATGTGAGTATATGCGCACGCACACACGCACACATACACACAGACACAGAGCCCTGCAAGCTCTCATGTAGCATAATGTTATTTTTGCTAGGGCTTTGCAGATGCACTAGCCTTGCACACTGAAATTAAAGAGCATTTACTCCTCACAAGGAGGATTTGTAATTGTACAGTAAAGAATATAATACTACTTTGTTAAAGGACAAACAATATAGAGTTACAGAATGTATTCCTATTGTGCAATAACTACCATGGATCATCTAATTCTTGCCACTCGCTGATGAAAAGCTTGTCAGCATTGGTAAACAGATAACATTAAAGTACTTACTCTGACTATTTTCCATCTTTATTGAAAGAAACTTCTAACATTCAGCACTGGCTATACATAGCATTAGAAACTGAAGTCTGCTGTTTAATTGAATCTGACAAACGTTGATCTGATCTGGAAAGACCGTACACTTTGGGAGTGAAAAGTAATTCAAATTCAAACATTACAAAAGCACTAGGATTTAATGGCTGTATCAGGTAAATCTGACACACAAAGGAGAAAGCAGCACCATTAGACACTACCATGAGAAAGTAAAGATATTTTCCATATCAATGGAATATAGCATTAACCATTTAATCTATTAAAAACAGCTAGATACTTTATATCCTAGAGGGTTTTTCTGCCCTGTTGCTGGCCTTTTTGGCTAAATATCAGAGGGTGAGAACTCATTCTTAATGACTTATGAGCTCTTAAGTGCTACAAACAGCACCGAGAGGTACTGTTACTGTAGAAATGACATGAAATGGCAGAAATGAAAACAAAAATGTAACTAGGGAGGAAGCATTTTATAATACTATTTTCTTTCCTGTAAAACAAAGCACAAGAAGATCAGTGAGTTGAGAGAGAGGGAGAGAAAGAGAAACAAAGAAAGGAAGTTAATTGGCAATCTTAGCAGCTTTAGAAGAAAGTAATTGCATGGCTGTGTGGTGGGAGAGATGAATGATGGCACAGCCCTGCAAGAAGATATGAAGGGAAAGCATACAGTAGTCACTGGGAGAAGTGACACCAAAGTGCTTGTGCCTTTCCGTGTTCGTCTGTAAACAGTGCTCAGTGGAGTCAGAAAGGAAGATATGACTGTGCACATCGGGCAAAACCATTGTTATCTTCATTCAGGCTGACAGAATATACTAATAAGGGATGGGATTTACAACTCTTGTGGGTTTTGGGGGAAAACGAGTGGGAAAACAACAGGGTGATGTTGTCATAGGACTCGATTTTCATGCTACAGGTAGTGCCTGTAGTCCCACTTCAGTCCCTGAGAACCGAATTAGGGTGGCACGAGATGTCAGTAACAGTGGGCAGTAGGCATGATGTTCCACTGAGGAGACAGCAGCATAGTTCCTGAGACTGATGAGTCCAAAGAAGCTTACTTCATCTGGCCCATGCTGGCTTTATCAGTGATTACACTATACAGTGGCTGTTAAATTAAGGTTATGATTTGCATGGATATCCTTAGGGAAACTCTCAGGAAAAATTCATTGTGGACTTACCCGATCCTAGCTGACCAGACCTTCTTTTAGCTGTGGAGATGAGCTTAATGTTATTGCTAGATGGATGACAATTGCAGATATTTTTTATCAACTTGTTGAATCTTACAGCCAATTTTGTTTTAGACATGAGGAACATTTTCTGCTTTAGATTTTAGCAGTTCTTATGTGATGTGGATTTGAGAGAAGAAATGAATTAAGTTACGCTAAAATAACCCACACAACCATCTAGCATCAACTGTGTGTTATCATGTAGTACTGTTTTTATTACGGCTGATCTCTTCTCACAATAATTTATTTGTGTATTTTTCCCACGGAGTTCGATCTCTTCCTACAAGAATTTGTTTTTTCCCATCACTGCCCCTCTTAGGGAAAAATCAAGGGTTACATAATGAAGTTAATCTACAGCAGGTACTTTATTTCTCTAAAGAGATTTTTGTACTCTGTTCTTTCAGCAAAGATCTAAATGCTTTCTTACAGAGAAATCTTTACATAATATTAGTTATATTTAGTGGAAATAATATCTTTTTAGGGAAGCAATACACAATTCATTCCTGAGGAGTTAAAGGACATAAAGACAAGTTTGCCAGTGTTCCCAGCATTGACAACAGTCTTTCTGCATCTTAAACTTTATCCATCACTTTATCCATCACTGACAATTTGAGAAGGGAATGGCCTCTCAAACTGTCCTCAGATCCTTGCTGTGCTGTGGATAACAAGAAGCCTCTCAAAAGAAGGAGTCACAGAAACAATGGGGTGGAGACCTGTCTTTGAGTTTCACTCTTTCCCTGGTGACTGATGGCAGAGCCACCACTTTCTTTAGTTGACCTGCTCAGCCTATGCAGATGTGCAGCATGAAACAGCTGTAGCATTTACAATGCCCATTAAGTGCTTATGATATGCATTTGCAGTGGCAGAACTAATGCAGACACATGGAATGAAAGGATTTCCTGTCCCTTGGAGTCTGTAGTATTGCCACCGGCAGTGCAATTCTCCGACGCCATTTCCTGAAATGCTGAGGCCCTCTGGTGCCTGCTTTAATGCGTGCAGTCTTGTGGAAGACCTTCTGGCCTTCTTCCTCTTAATTAGTTCAGATTTCTAATGGGCTCAGACAAAGGGAGCTAGAAATGACCAGTTATTAGTATATGGGCTGAACAAATATTTATTATTTAACTGCTGGGCAAAGAGGAGCAGCATTGCATTGCCTGAGACAGTACTTAAGTGAAGAAAGAGCCCTTGAAGAAGGAGATGCCCTCCATTGGACCTGATGTGAAAGCTGACATCTTTTTTCACAAGAAGCAAAACAGCATTAGGCTAACTGATGTGATGCTGCAAAACTGGCACAAAATCCATAGATTTAAAACTGCTGTTAAGTGGAAGAAAAGCTCTTTATCTCAATAAGTGGTCCCCACATAGAGCTAAGAATATTGTCTTGAGGCACACACAAGGGCTAGCATTAAGCCTGATCACATCTACAGGAGACCATATCCCTCAGTGCTTTGTGGAGGCTGGATACAGAATCAAGATTTTCCTTTTCTGCTCAAAATGTTTTTCTCCTGTCACTTTTGTGCCAACATTAAAGTATTAAATCTATTAGTACAATCCCATTTCTTGTAATTGTTGTAAGAAGATGCTTATTTCCAGTCCAGTCTCACAATAAGACAGTGTGACAGGGTAAGCTTTTCATTTAATATCATTAAAATTTCTGAAAGAAATCAGATCTTTGAGAATATATTGCTTCTTAACACAGTGACATTAAATACATTGTTTTGTGAATGAGTTTATGGATGAGTTTATTAATGTTTTTTTTTAGTTGTTCTGTAGTAAGATTTTTCAGTTGTTCTGAAATACCATAAAGCATTAAGCAGGTAGAGATTTTCCATTTCACTCTACAATTATCTGTGCACTTTTGAAAGTACTGGCTTGTGAGTTTTTATGTAGAAGAAACCACAGATGCTGCCCTTCATCTTTACAACTTCATTGTTACAGTCAAAGCTGGAATGCCAACATGTGTAGTGTAAAATTCTGGTATTCCATAAGGAATGGTATAACCCTTTAGATAACAAAAAGCACAGAGTCTTTCTAACATTATAAATGAAAACCTTTCTTGTGTTTGCTTGGTGTCTGATTAGAGTTATTTAAGCCAATGTCTGGGATAATATGCTAATATGCTTTTTTTTTCTTTTTTTTTTTTTTTTTTTCCCCTAGCCTCCTGTTCCAAGCAATTCCACTATGCTGAGCCCATAAGGAAGAAAGCAAAGGATCCTTTTACACTATCCATAATGTCATCATGTAAGGTATTTTTTTTCTTTTGGAGATCACAATTTGGCCTGCAGAGAATACAAAGGGTATAAAATAGGACTAAACTGACACCTGTAAGCTTTTAAGATGTTGAACTAAGATATCACATCAACTTCTAATGCTGCTGAGGCTGTATAGGAAACAAGGTAAAAAACTCAGTTCTCAAGCTTATTTAACATGTGTGACTTCAAGTTGCCTGCCTCTTTATCAGCACTTATACTGCATCAGATGTGATTAATTCATGTTTCAAAAGAGGAAGTAATTCTAAAGGCTATTTGATGAAAAGAAGAGCAACCAGTAAAATTAGGCATGAAATGCATGTATATAAGCAGCAGTCTTTATGGCCTTTGGCGTTACTTGTTTGAAAGAGTGTAAGAGTGTATTATTACGTACGCAGATGCCTGAGGCTAATGCAGATGCTGATGACTATGCTGTATTAAAATCCCATACCTTGCAGCCTTCACATGTGATGACTCCATAATGTATTCCAGAGGACTTATCACCACAGATTTTGCATGGTATCACTTCAATTTGTGCTGAAAAATAAGACAAATATTTTGAGTATATAATTCTATTTCATTTATTTCTTTCTTCACGCACAATCTTTTCCCCCTCCCCTGAAAATATAAAACTGCTTTTTATTGTACTGTGTGTTTCTGAATGCTTTGATTTGGCAGATTTTAATTGCTTCACATTATGTATCCACTATTCCCTACAAAACTCTTCAACAGTTCAAACTATCTCATGATTTTTGATAGTTTTTATTCATACTCTTTTTTGTATTTTTTTTTTTTTTTTTACTTGTTAATTTCATCATCATTGTTGCTAATGACAAGCATTATAGATCTAAATAATTATCTGGATTTTTCTTGCTTATGCTTTTACAATATTCATTACTTTACTCTTCATTTTGCTGAGGTGGTTTTATGTGGAATGTTTTGATGCATTTTTCAGACCTGTAGACACGATGAAGTTTTTATATCGTTCAGATTATGGGTTAAAAACGTAGGTAAAACCCACAGACTGAGATTAAGTACACAGTAACTGTGTGATGGGAGAGACAGGTGCTATCTGAAAATGTTGGTGTACGAATGTGTTTCAGATCCTTTTATAAACCAAATAATTAGGAAATTGCTATTTTTTAATACATATTTTCTTTTACTTTTATTTAAGAAAATAGCTATTTTCTTCCTTCAGTTACTTAGAATATTGTGAGCTTCCGTTGTCTAAAGTGTAAGAGCACACACCCTGTATGGTGGGACTTTGCCTGATTCTAGTAAGAAGCACTGAAGAGAAAAAAAACTCTATTTTCTTTCCAGTAATTTGTTCTCCTCAATTCTTTCATGACTTGGAGCTATCATGCTTGCTTACTATTACTGGTAGATGTTGTTTGTGGTTTAACACCAGTAAGCAGCCAAACATCACAGAGCTTCTTGCTCACTAGTCGGATAAAGGAGAGAATAAAAAGAAAGAAAGCAAGAAAACTCATGGGTTGTGATAAAGGTAAAGCAAAAATGTAAAGCAAAATCTGCATGTGCAAGCAAAGAAAAATAATTCATTCACTACCTCCCACTGGTAGGCAGATGTTATCCACTTCCAGAAAGCGTTTCTTCATTATATGTAATGGTTGCTTGGGAATGTAAACAAAAAAACTCCTAACATCTACCCCTACTACTTCTTTTCCTCCAGCATTTATTGCTAAGTACAATGTCATATGTATGGCATGGACACTTTGCTAGGTTGGAGTCAGCTGTAATGGTCATGTTCCCTCCCACTTTCTTGCAGACGCCTATCCATATTAGCTGGTAGGGCATCATGAGAAGTAGAGATTTCTTTTGCTCAGTGCAAGCAGGTTTCAGCAACAAACAAAACATTGGTGTGTTATCAACATTATTTTCATCACTAGTTGAAAACTTGCATCACATCAGTTGCTATCAAGAAAATTGACTCAATCCCAACTAAAACCAAAACAATATGTTCCATAGTCAGGATTGCAGTATCCACAGTTCACTGCAACATTAGTTACTCATCAAATACTTGAGCAGCTCTGCTGAGATCTTGCATGCTAAGGGGGATTCCTATGGGGGTAGTCTTGTCCTCTTGAGGACAAGAGTTGCTAATCCTTAGTCCATCGGTTGAGTATGTTCAACTCCAAAATAGATTGTTAGTCAGGGAAACAAGATAATAATTCAGATATTGATCCTAAAACAAGCATCCTGTTTCAAATCTGTTGGCACACAAAAAGTCTACAAATGCTGGAGAAAACTTATTTATAAACGACAGCACTAAATAAGATACGCTAAACATAGTTGTGTTGTGGATGTTATAACGGTACAATCTGGATTTTGTCCATACTATTCATTACTCCTTTCAGGAGACCAGTTTTCTAGGAGTTCCTTCCTACCACCTTGAAGTCAAACAACCAAATTTCAGAACAATCCTACAGAGTCATCACATTCTCCACTGAAAGGTACACCGCATTCCCCATTCCATAGAAATTACCTAGAGTAGGTAAACACTAAAGGTGAACATTAATAGGTCTCTTCTGTATAGGTCAGTAATTATTCCCCTGTAACACCATACCCCAAAGGAAGGAGGAATGAGGGTCGTTTATGGATGATCTAAGAAACTTCAGTTTCCCACTGTAAGCTCACTTTCCTGAGATACTTTCTCTAATCAGCCATGTTTCTAGGAAAAATAAATATTAGCTTAGACAATCAAACCAGTTTTGTCAACTGCCCAGAAGTCAGGATGGATAATATGAATTTTACTGTAGGAAAACAAAATTTGTTGTTCATGTATTTTGGGTGGAGATAACCCAGGCAAAAATCTTGACCGCCCTTGAGCTTAAGAAAGTTCATATTTAGAAATGCAATTTTCTGTGTCATCCACAGTTTTTGGATTAGTGTCTATATCCTGTTTTGTTTTTGCAGACCGAGAGAGGTAGATTTACTTCTTTCTTAAGAAGCTAATATGCACAAGCCATCCAAGCATAACATGTAAAAACAAAGGAAACTCTGCATAGAATATAGCCTCAGCTTCTTGGTAATTTTGCCAAGCTGATCTCATTCAAAATTTTCTGTTCCTTATCCCCACTGCAGTAATTAGAACATTTCAACATGCATCCCCAGGTACTGCTTTTTCAGAGGACAGTTGAAGCCACTGCTCACAGGTCTCTGCTTGAGAGTCATATGGAGGTTGCATGGCTAGGCTCTGGGATCTGGCACTGCTGAAAAGTTCAAAGACATTTGTCAATGTCAGAAGCAGAGACTATTGTGACAAGACGAGGAGATCTTCAGGAAAAGTAATGACAAGGGAAGAAAAAAATAAAAACAGTTTGAAGGTACTTTTAATGTGACTTGCATGTACTGTTTGTAAGTGATAGGAACAGAGACAGAAGTATTGATTCTGTGACACACACTGCATTTAGCAAAGTGCTCGTTACTGCGAGCAATCAATAATTCCATACGTGACTTGCAATTACAAGCACTACACTAGAGATAAATATTTCTAGATCAGGTCACTAAATATGATGGCTCTGTATTTCAATTAATATGAAATAAATACTTCAGGCTTGTGATTCATCAATTAATTCAAACTCTTATTCAAAATTAACCATTCTATAAATTAGTAAGTACAGGATCTCTAGAAAATTGCTACCAAAGCTCCATAGAAATCTCACAGAAAATGCAGTATCTTCAGTACAGAGAAAGCATTTGAGGAAGTTTGGAAAAGTAGACTGCTGTTGTCTGCTAGGCATTTCTTTTTGTTCATAAGACAGCAGAACAATTTAAAGGTTTGTAACAGAAAACTAGAGTGATTAGTTGTACAGGGTGGATGAAAAAGAAGACACTGTATTCCCCAAAACATCTTGAATTACTGTAATTAACACCCACTGTACCAGGTTTCTTTTGCAGATTTAATGATTGTCAGGGACTACTACATATTTTCACATTGTATCTTTGTTCAGACAACTATGAATCTGCTTTGTTTTTCTTCTTTCCTTCTCTTCTCAGGCCAACAGTTTGGGAAACTGAATATCGTTCTCATATATAGATGCGATAAGGTGGGTAGCTCACTTCTGAATTCCTCGTAAGAATAAAATACATTGCTTCAGTACTGACTCCTGAATACTGAAGTAAAAAGGAAACTAACTAATAGTGAAGCTGCCATAATGATTACTGTCAGCAGCATATGGAAACAACTTACTTTCTTCCAAAAATGAGGAAGTATAACAGCAAAACTACTTATCTGTGCTATTGAAGTCTTTCCACTTGCCTTCTTACCCTCTACTTTAATAATTTGTGTAAGAATAACAGCTTCTGCCTTTTTCAAGCAATAACACGGGTTCTCAAGTGTCCATTTGTTCAATTTTTCAGCAAGCACATTCAGTTTTCATCCTGTCTGGAGATGTATCACTCAATAAAAGGCTGCAAAACCACCATCACCCAAACCATTAATAACGTTTGGATACATGCTACATCGTGATTGCTTCTTATCACCAATTCTAACTTTGCTCATCAGTACCACATGATCGTCCTTCCTCTCTGTGGTATTCATCTCCTACTTTATACTTAGGGTTTAAGTTCACTGAGTCTGGGAACTTCCTGTAAGTTTATATGATATCCTACAAATTGGAAAGCCAGAGTGAAAATTATTCAATTCTACATGACAAGTATTAATAATCCACACACACTGTGTTTACACCTGAAACATAATTCATTCTCACAGGACAACAGGAAGAGCAGAATCCTATTAAGGAAGTAAATACAAAGTCTCATACATTTAAAAATGAACCCTTTAAATATGAAACATTTGCTATTCTGTCATACGTTGTCCCAAGAGAAAAAGGATTAAAGATTTTTTTCTTCATTATGAGCAAAAATTCACTCACTAACACAAAATTCATTTTTTTAAAAGTAGGGCAATAACCAAGTTTCAAGAACTGTTATTTTGGTGAAATTGGGAATAAATCAAGAAGTTACACAATTATTTGCTGAATTCCTCATGAAACAAAATAAAAACTCCACAGGGCAACTAATAGGTCTACAGTATAATTATGTGGACTACCGTTTACATGTACAGGTGGTCAGACAAGAAAAAAAACAAAGCTTGGATCTCAGTTAAATATATAAGGAACTTCATTCAGCAGAAACAGGATTATAATCTGTCAGACTTGTAGCTTTTGTTTCAAGGAATAAAAAAAAAAAAAAAAAAAAAAAAAAGAACAAAAAAAGCAAGAACCTGGGCTTTTAATACTTAGTTCCTGATCAAAAAAGCATGCTAACATGTATTGAGAGCAAACTTTGAAGAAGAAATCCTCTCCATAATTTGTTGATTCAGGAGGAATCACATGTGGAAATCTCAAAGCTAATCAGAGCACCGGTGGTTAAAAAAAATTGGCTCCTTCACAGTCTAAGATTTCTCAAAAATCTCAAAGGGAGTTCTTTGAAAAATAAGGACAAACTGACTTAGAGGTCTTTTATATTTTTATCCCTGATGATTCAAATCGAATACATTAATTGTTCTTTTCTAGTTGCTAGTTCTCCCTCTTTTTCCATCCTGGCATCTATGACAAGTTTTTTTCCTTCCGTATTACCACCAATAGAAACTTTCACTGCATGGAAATTTTGCCAAGTAGAACTTGGTATTTTTGCCACCAAAATTAGCTATTCTGTGGCTACAGCAAGACTTTAGGTGCAGCTGAGGATACTGGTTACATTTTCCAGCCTCTGCTGTACTTCATGCAGTGAGAGCTACATCATTAACAACATTTAAGTAAGCTTATTGATACTAGCTAATGTTAATTATCTCTGTAGTTTCGTGTTTGCTGTCAACCATACCACAAATGACCCATTAGAGCAGACATGATGGAATTCACTCTGCTTCGTAAAATCAAAGCGTTTAATACACAGTGAGATATACAAGTCTGGACCCTGGGCTTGATGCCATCTATGAATACTGCTGGGTCCATCCAGCCCAGTGCATTACTGCAAGGTTGATGATTTTCAAATCTGCCAGTCCTACTGTTCATACATGGAACATGGAGATACCCCAAAAGCAGCAACTCTTATGTAGCTGTACGTCTCATGGAGTACACATGGTAGAATTGGTCTGTACATGGTTTGTAAGATCTTATCAAGAATTTCAAGAAAAGTAGTAGTCCTGGCTGTTGGATATTAAGAAAACTGATAGATCATCACTCAAAATAGCAGAGTGATAGATTACTGCTAAAAAAATTGTTTTTCCCATAAATCCTCACACTTGTCATGTTTGATTTCTTTCATGGTCTCACAGTCTCAGATGAAGATTATTTAGCTTATAATCAGTGTGACAGGGAAGGTTTCTTTGTGACACATTTTCTTTTCTTCTTCTTCTCATATGATGTACCAGGAAGATAAAAAACCACTCCAAATCCCCAAACAAAAAATCCCCACCTCACTAAAAAGAAAAGCACAGACTTGCACTTCAGTTCATTTTGCAAATCAACTCAGGCCTTTAATGCATGCCTATTCTAAAGAGTACTAGAAAAAAAAGACTTAAAGAAAAAAAAATTTTTTTTTCAACGAATAAAACTAAAATGCAGTTAGAACGTGTATCCCTATTGCATGACTT